CACTTTTTTTGCCATACTATACTGTGTAATTTTTCTCACTTTATATGCCTTAATATACTATGACATCTTTATACCTTAGTATATTATGATGTTTTTGATGTTTTTATGCCTCATTACACTACGCCATCTTTTAATTTTTTTGCCATACTATACTATGTCGTTTTTTCAGTTTCTTTGCCATACTATACTATGTCATTTTTCTCACTTCATAGACGTCAATATACTATGACATCTTCATACCTTACCATATTATGATATTTTTTGATGTTTTTATGCCTTAATATACTATGTCGTCTTTTAAGTTTTTTTGCCATACCATACTTTGTTGTTTTTCTCACTTTTTAGGCCTTAACATACAATGACATCTTTATCCCTTAGTATATTATGACAATTTTTGATGTTTTCATGCCTTGATACACTATGCAATTTTTTCATTTTTTTGCCATACTACACTATGCCATTTTCTCACTTTTTTTGCCATACTATACTGTGTAATTTTTCTCACTTTATAGGCCTTAATATACAATGACATCTTTACGCCTTAGTATATTATGACGTTTTTTGATGTTTTTATGCCTTAATATACTATGCCATTTTCTCACTTTTTTTGCCATACTATACTGTGTAATTTTTCTCACTTTATATGCCTTAATATACTATGACATCTTCATACCTTAGTATATTATGATGTTTTTGATGTTTTTATGCCTCATTACACTATGCCATTTTTTCATTTTTTTTGCCATACTATACTGTGTCATTTTTTCACTTTTTAGGTTTTAATATACAATGACATCTTTATACCTTAGTATATTATGATGTTTTTTGATGTTTTTATGCCTTAATATACGATGTAATTTTTTCATTTTTTTTTGCCATAGTATACTATGTCGTTTTTTCACTTTTTTGGCCTTATATACTATGAGGTCTTTATACCTTAGTATATTATGATGTTTTTTGATGTTTTTATGCCTTAATATACTATGCCATTTTTTCATTTTTTTGCCACACTATACTAAGCAGTTTTTTTGCCAAACTTTTTTTCACTTTTTTGGCCTTATATACTATGAGGTCTTTATACCTTAGTATATTATGACGTTTTTTCATATTTTTATGCCTTTAGGCACTGTGTCATTTTTTCACTTTTTTTGCCATACATACTATGTCGTTTTTGTCACATTGTAAGCCTTAATATACCATGATGTAATTATATCTTAGCATATTATGACGTTTTTATGCCTAAATATACTATGCCATTTTTTTTATTTTTTTTGCCATACTATACTTTCTTGTTTTTTTCACTTTTTAGGCCTCAATATACTATGACATCTTCATAACTTAGTATATTATGATGATTTTTGATGTTTTTAGGCCTCAATACACTATGCCATTTCCTGACATTTTTATGCCTTACTATAGTATGACTGTTTTTGAGGTTTTTAAATGTGTTTTTTATTTATTTATTTATTTATTTTGTGCCTTACCATACTATGATGTTTTTTGACCATTTTATGACTTACTATCATCTGACGCCTCATTATACTATGACATTTTAATTTTTTTCATGCCTTACTATACTATGTTGGTTTTGGACATTTTTATGTCTACTAAACTATGAAGTTGTTTGATGATTTTATGCCTTACTATACTTTGAATTTATTATGGATTACTAATCTACAACATATCTATCAGTAAGCTTTGTGGTGAACTGGTTAGAGTTGTTGCATCCCAATGAGAAGGTCAAGGGTTCAAACCCAACTCAAACTTCCTCCCACATGCCCTATTATAATATGACAAATTTTTGCCTTATTATACTTTGAAGTTTTTTGACGCTTTTATGCAATACTATACTATGTCATTTTTAGACATTTTTACTCCTCACTATGCCATGACATTTTTTTTACGTTTTATGCCTCACTATGGCTTTTTTTTTACGTTTTTATGAGATTATATTATTATTTATAGATTTATGTAACATATGTCTACAATATAAACCTATAACATAAACAGACATACTAAAATTCATGTTTCTAATAGCTAGACATATATGTCAATATGTGATAGTGTTCCAATTTTTAACAGGTTTCCCATGTATTTTTTTTTTTTTTTTTTACATATATAAGCTATTCTGTATATACATATATAATCTAACTTCATATATACATATATTTCAATTATGGAAATTCAACATATGTACACATAGCCTAATCCATTTGCGTATGGGCATTTCTAAATGCATGTTCATATCCATATGTTAATAAACCTTTTAGTTGACTTCATTAAAAGGTCAAAAATCTCTTTCTTTTGGAAGGGTGGTGGGGTTGTTGCGTCCTTTCCAATGCTGAGACTAAACCTACGCCCTTAGCCTTATCTCGTTGTAATGAGTTAGTTCTCTCATTATTACGAGATCGGCATTTGGTTATTATGCCATCTGAGTTGCGGATCATGTGATTTTCTAGTTATCCTAAGTCTGTCAGTAATAATTATGAGAAACGATCATTATTACGAGATAGTGTGTCTTCAAATTCGGTGTCTTTTCAGAATGGAGTACGCTTCTTATACCTGTAATTTTTTGGTGTTGAAGTGTTCAGTAACATTTTATTGTTATTTAGTGTAACGTTGTAAGTTTATATCACCCTGATGCCTGGGGGCTAAAGACGGTTACAGACAGTATCTCTATGAACATAAAGTCGAAACTTCCACAGAAGATGACAGTAAAAGTCTATCACATAGCAGAGTTGAGATTCACTCGTAGCCTATTTTTTGTTTTACCAGATAAGACAATGCTTGACAGGGGCAGCACTTACCAAGAAAAAAAAGGAGGCCGGTGGGAGGGGTACAAAAGTAAATCTGCACCGCCCAGGCAGCACAAAAAGTTTGGAAAGTCCTGACACCGTTAACACTGCTGAGTGCAGCCACATCCTCGCCTGTGGATTATCAAGCCTGCCTCGCTCAAGACAGCCAACCTTTTCTAAAAAGTAAGCTTCGTGATTCATAACTTTGTGTTCACTTTTAAAGTCTATTGCCTCAGGGATGTGTGCTCTATTTTATTTCCCTTGTAGCCTAGAGGGCAATAAGTTAGACAAACTCTTTCCTCAGTCTGCCAGTCCGTTGTATGTCTGCTATGAAATGCCTAACATTAGCTGATACAAGCTTAAATAACGTTTGTTTGAGCTGTGAAAACAAGGAATTATGACGTCGTCTGTCTAAGGAAGTTTATATTTCTCCCTACTAATTTCATCATTATTAGTGTATTAGTTTTATGAATGGACGCAATTGCGTTTCACCTATTAAGTATTTCATTTATTTATAAAAAAAAACACTGAGGATTTGTGTTGCTAGTTAGAGACATCTCTCTCGCGTCTTTTTGTTTTCCTTGGGAAATCCAAAAACAGTTTACACAGGCTCTTCCTTTCCCTCTATATGAATCATATAACAAGAGCAAGTCTCCGAAAGTCTTATCTGATCTCGGCATTGTGATATTATTTAAAGAAAGCCATGTCGTAGTGTTTCCTGAAACAGTCGGCCAGAAGTTGGTGACCACCAGATAACCCTTAGGTTCTGACCCTCATTGTACACAAGGAAGACGGAGAGAAATATTGTGGGATTGCCTCAGGAAGAAAAACCGTGTCATCCCCCTCAAGGAATTTAAGACATTTAAGCAACATTTCCTTCACTGTCAGGTTGTGCAATGCTCCTTATGTGCTCTCGGCTATTCTGTTGCATTTATTCAAAAAGCTGCACTATTAATATTCATGTTAGTCATCAATAATTATGACCATATGTGTGGCTAATCATCATCAGAGAATATATTTGTGTTATAACCTTTTAATGCCACAGCATTGGATAATAGGAGATAGATTTGCATACAGTACTTGTTTTGACAATGAGATTGTCTTGAGTTAGCCATCACATCTCTGCTTCTTTTTTTTTTTTTTGTATTTTTCCCCTGACCTTTCAACCTTTAAAGACTGGAACTTGTCTGCTCCTCCGCTGCCACAGTCATTGCTGCTCTGCTGCTAGACAAGGACACTTCAACCACTTCTTGAGTATCTTCACACCCCAGAGACCCAGACTCACCTTCTACCAACACCTGAAACTTAAGCTTAGCAGACATGGAGGTTCACGTGGCGCGGTTTGCCCTGCTTCTGTGCATCACTGTTGCAACCTCTGGTAAGCTTCTCAACTGATATTCACTATTTTCAACATTTAGATATTATATAAGTGGATTTTAATGCTATGTGTGCCATGAATTTATATAGAAGTGAATATTCTTAGAAAGGTCTCCTGGGGACGTTTCTGTCATCCTAAAGTTCAAACGAAGATATTAATCTTGTCCTTACTCTCCTCTGTTCTGACGTCACTTCATTCTCACTTCATTATTTGCTCTTGTTTTTTCTTGCACTCTAAATCAGGATTTTACAGCTGGCCTGTACAGAGAGGTTATGTGCAAAATAAATGTGGAGTCCCTTGGCTTGAATGATGGTTTGTCCTTAACACAACTCTTGTAGCATACAATATTTGATTAGAACAAGAGCCAAGTTCAAAACCAGAGTACCTCCAAATAATAGTCAGACTGCTGAACAACCGAGTCACTCTGGGAGGCTTTTGTCTGTGTAATCTTTCAGTTCAGTATTAGTGATAAAAGAACATCTTCTATGAGGACAGTCCAGACACAAGAAACAAGAAAACATTGTGGGGAGCTCACAGACTTAATGCGACCCTTCTCTGTTGGCCCCCTCCAGAGGCTGCCTGTGACTGTCCATATCAAATCCAAACCTGTAATCCCTACAAGGTAGCTAAGGGATCTGAAACCCTCCCTATGCCCTCAGGCCATAATCCAGCTTGATGCTCTTACCAGTAGACTGCACTGCTGCTTTGGGGTGTTTCGGTCTCACTTCCCTGCAGCAATCTAGCATTTGGGGTGGCCACATGGATTTCAACTAATAATAAAACAATGCTTATATAGTTTGGGAAAATATCTTCAATAATGATCCAAGTCTATTGATTTGATTAAAATAAATAAATAAATAAATAAATAAAATAAAAAATATATATATAGATATATATATATCTATATCTATATATATATATAGATATATATATCAAAAGTGCATTGTTTGTCAGTTTTAGTTACAAACATTGTTTTTTTCATGTAGAAGACAGAGTTTTAAATCTGTTAGACATTAACTGATCTATTCAGCCTGATGGTCTGGTGGTTTTACCTTTATAAGTTATAGTTTTAGATGATCTGTGCCCACTGTCTGCGAGAACTAAACTGTAAGATGTAAAAAATTATGAAATAAGCTATGCTTTCTGCATTAATTTTTCAATAATTTTCAATGATGTACTTGAAGGTGAAACAACCACTTCAGAGCCAAATAACCTTTTTTATACACTGGCTCCTTAAACATACACAAGAAAAATAAACCGGCATTTTGAATGTGCTTTTTAAATAAGGCAAAGTGGCCTTGGCAAGCATACATCACCTTTAAGATTATGTGCCAGAAAAACAAGCCTGTTCGCTGAATCTGGCTTCAGTGCTGACCTACTGTATGACAAATCACAATATTGCCACAAGTGCTAAACACTCTCTCAGCAGGGGTGCTGGTGGCAGGGATACAGAGGTATTTTTCGGCCAACTGGCAGACCTGCAGAGAGTTGACCTCATGTAGCTTCCACCGCAGGGGATCAGTCTCGCTGTCTACTGGTGGAGCCTTAATTGCCTCTGTGACACATAGTCCTGTACTTGCATCATTTTTTTATCTCTTGAAAGAGGTTCCAAGAATTTTTATTTTCCATCTTATTTTTGCATCTGCTGCAGCCTCTTTAGGAGAAGGCCCAGAGGGAGCTGTGAGACTGTTCTCAGACAGCAGGCGACTCTGACCCTGTGTGCTGAATATTGATGCATTAATCAAAACATTGGTGTGACACGTATGAGTTTCGTCTATCTCTTTATTGTTTATTCGTCATCATATAGTCCAGTATTGTCATATTAATTTGTCATTTTCTCTGACATTGTCTCCTGGGCTTAGTACCGTGCTGTTGTTGAACAAATGAAGCACAGACATCAGGCTGACTAAGGCCGACAGTATACTCTATATAAAATGAGATTTACACATTGCCAGACTGAATATGACTGTGAAAAAAAATACAGAACCCATATTTTCACTGGGATTCGAGGTCTGTTTGTTTTTAATAGCATCCATGCCAGCTGCAAGTCACTGTGTGAGCAGACACAATGTGAAAGTTCCTCAAAAGAAGAAGTAAACACAGAAAAAGTATAAGTAAATCCAAAATAGCCTGCAGCCTACAGCAAATCCCATGACACTCTTGGCCCATTGCAGGCATGGTATAATGTGTTTTACTTGAGCTCAGTCTTGCTTTAGCTTCATTTAAACTTTTTACAAGTGACCCTTTATCAGGTCCTGGCTATTGGGATTCTTAAACGATCGTAGATGCCTGAGCATGGTTTGAATGTACAGCAGTTAAAGTAACGCAAACACTCCATGGCCTGCGTTCATCTGCAGTATGACAAGTGGCTGATTAATAGATGAAGTGGTGCTTATGTAGTTTTTTCTTGAGTCAGTCAGTTAGTCAGTTAGGCAGTAATATGACACTTATAGACTGTTGCTTAATTCTAAACGTTTTCACTTCCTTATGAAGGGTGAGACTAAAACTGGTTATCTTGTTAAACCCACCAGACTCCATTTCTTCAGTTCCAGCACTGACTTTCAGTTTGCCTTTCTTCAGCTGGAGGCAAAAGAACTCCAGACACAACTCTTAATCTTACCCTGAAATTTGACAAACACAGATACATTCTGTCATGAGATCCTGTTCTCCTCAGATCTGGATTATTTATGAGATCAACCCCTGCGTACGTCTTTCAAACCTAGAAAAGATCATCCCTGCTTTCACCTTTCAGCTTGATTATTAAAATTCCCAATGTGTTGGGATCAGTCAGGCCTCTCTTTCATGTTTGCAGCTCATCCGTAATCTCTGGACAGGCTTCTGTCAGGCTTCAGTAAAACAGACAACATCACACCAGTCTTAGTTTCACTACACTGCCTCCCTGTGTGGTTAATTGTGTTTAAAATTTTGCTGTTTGTTTTGAAGGCCTTGCATGGTCCAGCCTATGGGTTTATCTCTGAGCACCTGTGGTGCCACAATTCGTCTAAATCTCTTTAGTCATTTAACTCTGGGTATTTGTTTGTGCCAAGATCATACAGGCTGTGAAGCTTGTGCAATGGTGGAATTTGTTCTTCCTTTGTGTTGGATCAGCTGAGACCTTCCTTTTTAATAAAACATGGCAAGGACTTGCCTTTTCTCTCAGGCTTCCAACTGTGTTGCCTTTTTTCATTTTCTGCTTGGATATTACTCTTTTGTTAATCTTGTTTATTCCACTCTGTTAATGCAATGTTACTATTCAACACTTCTTTTCAGCTGTGTTGTCTAAAGGTATTTAATGAAGATAATTTGGCACCTCTCAATTTGGATGTGATAATGTCTGTCTCAGCCAGGACAATGTACATAACTTACTTATCAATGCGTGTTACATGCCCCTTAAAAGGGTTCTGCAGTGATTTTGCATGATTCTTCCATAAACCTGGGGTATTGGTAGAAATTGAAGTGAGAGAAGCCATTTTATCCTGACTTTTACTCTATTGTATGGGTAAAGCCCCCCCAAAATGCCTACATTTCCCATAATGCAACTCAATAGCACATTTGAGGAAACATTTTTCACCTGGTAAACGCCCTGGTTTTATAGACACCAAGCCCTCACTTTGTTACAGAGGCGCTCTGTTATAAATTTGTAGTTTCCAAGCCCAAGCTGAGATAACCTGAGTGACTCCATCAGGGTTATTTTCTTGGATTTGATAGAGCTGCTCCAGAGTCACAAAAGACATTATACAACTGATCTTCATGTATACAGTTTGTGTAGTGCCCCTTTAAGGCTTTTGAAACCTATAATTTTAGCATATTCATATCTTTCCTAACTAGCATTGGAAGAGTGATTGGCCTTTAAAGCACTCTGTCTCCCAAGCTGCTTATTACGCGGGAAGTACAGTACTTGTATAACACCTCCTTTGGAAAAGAATTTCATTTTTATATTTTTCAGACCACTTTATAATGGCAAGCACAATAACCACTACCACTTAAGCCAACTGCAGCAGTTGGACACATAAATAATTATCTATGTGTCTGACTGAAGTCTTTGTATTTAGTGATTTTATCCACTCCGTGCCCGGCATTTCCTGGCAGGGAAGTAGTGTTGAATATGCCCCCTGCTGCAAGAACTTTCCCAGTGGGAGCCAGGCATCATGATGTTAACTGCCAGACCGCCTGCTGCATTTCTGCCTACCCCAGAGTCTCCCTCCACGGGCTGAAGGAAAAGTACAAAAGTGATTAGCGAGCCGCTGGAGGGGGAGGGAGGGCTGTCAGAAAATGGATCTCAAAGAGGGAAAGAGTGCGAGACAGACAGACAGACAAACAGAGATAACAGAATTCATAAAGACTGATTCATGGAGACAGTGAGGGAGTGGGGGGTCAAATTTTTGTGACTGTCAAAGAGCAGATAAGTGGTTCAGAAGGGAGATGTAGGGAAAGAGAAGTAAATAGGGGATTAAAGAAACAGGGAGATAGGAAAAAGGACAAGACAGATAAAGCAAGGGAATTAAATCATAAGATAGACAAAGTGAAAATACAAGACTATGAGTAATTAGAGAAAAAGAAAGTAATAAAAATATCAAAATATAAAGGCAAAAAAAGAAAAGAGAGGAATCTGTTTGTTGACAGAAATCGGATGTCAAGGATTTACAAAGAAAAGCAAAAGAAATGTAAAGACATGACAAAGGTTTTTCAGAAGGCATGCTGTAGTAGAATAAGCCAAAAGCAAAAGAAAAAAAAAGGAAAGAATAAGAAAAAACGTCATGTTAAAAATGGCGTTGAGAGTCAAAACAGTCCACTTCCCCTGTTTTACTGTAGTGAGCCAGCTCTGCCTGCAGTCAGACTGGGTGGCAGGGAGACGCGACCACTTGTCGCTGCCTCAGACCGATTTCAATCTCCTTCAGTGTTATGCCCCTCCCAAATAACAATCCATTTCTGACTGCCTCGCTTTTCCTCTGTTTGACTACAGAATGCAGTGTGAGGGAGCCTCACTAATGTTGTGTTCC